TTTTTATTTTATTTTTTTTAATATTATGTTAGTGGCTTGATGGTTAGTTCTTGGGCTGTGCTGTCATTCACTTTACCTTCAGAGATGCTAATGTGTGTGTATTTTTTTAAATCTTTTTGTCTAATACTGTTGGTTGCTAGGGAGTTCTGGTGGCATAATCAATACGGTGGTGTGCTGCTAACCCAGAATCTGTGCTTCTCTAGCTGGTCAAATCTGCCAGTGACTTTGCAGGAGAAAGATGGGCAGTCTCCTCCCAGGTGATTTACAGGCTGGGAAAACACACTGGAGGATTGGCTATGAGTTGATACTGACTTGATGGCTATGAGTTTGAGAGTTGAGATTTTTTTCAGTTGTTCATTATATTAGGCTGTGCTTTTTCAGGTCTTTCTTTGTATTTTTATTTTTTTAAAGCCAAGAGAGTAGCTCTCTGAGGAAGATGTGGTCGCTCCTAAAGGCATGCTTTGCTGGCCACTCCTGCTCCTGACTCAGTGCTGTTCACTCTCCCCAGAGAACAAGTCGGTCAGGAAGCCGCACCATAGCTGTGTCTTTTAAGGACATCAGAAAGATGCCCATGGAACTGGAGATGGCCATTCATTGGATTAGAATTACCCTAACCAACCGCAACATAAAATCCCTGGAAAAGGTGTGTGCCGACTTGATCAGAGGCACAAAGGAGAAGAACCTGAAGGTGAAGGGACCGTAGGATGCCTACTGAGACTGAGAACCACTACAAGGAAGACTCCTTGTGGGGAAGGTTCCAAATCCTGGGATCATTTCCAGATGAGGATCCATAAGCAACTCATTGACTTGCACAGCCCTTCCGAATATTGTCACGCAGATCACCTCCATCAGCATCAAGCCTGGAGTAGAGGTTGAAGTTACCATTGAAGATGCCTACATCAACTATTTTAATAAATTGATCTGTTGGTAAAAAAAACAAAAAACCCCACACATTCTTTGAAGCAAACATATCCTTGACACCAAAGCCAGGTAAGGACAGCACCCAAATAGAAAATTATAGGCCAGTATCTCTCATGAACATAGATGCAAAAATCCTGAGTAAAATCCTGGCCAATAGACTCCAACGATACATAAAAAAAATAATTCACCATGACCAAGTAGGATTCATAATAGGTATTCAAGGATGGTTCAACATTAAAAAAAAACAAAAACAAAACCAATCGGTGTTAATTCCTCAAATTAACAAAGCAAAGCATAAGAACCATATGATCCTAACAACTGATGCAGAAAAAGCCTTTGACAAAAATCTAGCACTCAACAAAATAGGAATAGA